AACATCGGCAGCGTCCGCTGCACATTGGCCTCGGACGGGGCGTCGTCCGTGACCTTGGGCATGCCGCCGCGCTTGACAGGCTCGCTTGACGCGGGCCGCTGCATCGATTCGTCGTATCCGTCCAAGTCGAGGCAGAACGTCTTGTAGTTGACGAACGCCTTGTTGTCAAAGGCGAGCTGCGCGACGGGCGCCGAGTTGAGGCGCGTGCTCGCATACCGCTTCAGCACCACATGCTTCTCGGCCGGCGACACGACGTGCAAGTTGAAGAGCGCCAAGACCTACGCGCGTGCCACGTCATTCGCCACCAACTTCAACTTGGAAAAATGCAACAAAAATATACCCGCGCAAACTGTTCGCACGTGACGCACTCGGTCTTGCCGCGGTCAAAGTCGGTGAACGCAGGCTTGAGCGCAATGCGGCGCGTCGTGACGCTAACGCTCAGGCGCCGCATGAGGGCGTGCCAGTCGACGAGCTCAGTGTCGGAGAGCACGCCGCGGACGCCGCGGGAGCAGGCGGCCGACGGCAGCGTGGGCACGTCGACGCTGACGCTAAGCGAGTCCCGGTCGTCGTCGTTGTTTCGAGTTCGTTGGCTTCGTCGTGCGTCTCGCCGAGCGCAATGCTCTTGCAGAAGGCAATGTAGTCGACTTTGCGCTCGTGGCTCACATCGACGATACCGACCGCGTACTTGGCGACGAGGACGTCCAAGTCGCTCTGCGTGAGCGCGCCAAAGCACACCTACACACGCTTCTAAACGCTATATTCTCGATCGTGTCGAGGTACCTTGACCGCGCGCATGAACTGAGCCTCCGTGCACTTGCCCGACCGCATCCGGTCGTAGTCGGTGAAGAAGTTCTTGACGCGGATTCGATCCCGGGCCGCAATCTCCCGCAGCGGGCCTTCGATCGCGTCGGCTTCGGTGCTACCGTACTGGTTGCCACCCCGGCGCTTGGCCCGCGGCGACGCATTCACACCATTGTTGCTGTAGTATGCAGGAAAGACACCGTCGGTCAAATCGTGGTGCAGCAGCTTGTAGTTGACGTCGAGGCCGGCGCCGTAGACCTTGATGAGCACGCGGAGCTCACTTGGGTTGACGTCGCCGAGGATGCCAAAGAGGTCCCGCGTAAAGCGCGCCTGCGTCACAAACCCCGAGTTGTTTTTGTCGAAATCGTGAAACACATCTTTAAGCACAATGCCCTACACATGGACGTCCGATGCGTCGTGTTTACCTCGTTGATACAGACCTTGATGCGCACGGCGCGGGCGAGCTGCTCCGTGATTGAGCGCAGTGCGGCTACCTCGCTCTCGCTCGTCGGCAGCTGCTTGGTGAACGCACCGGCTTGTGTCGGGCGCATTGTCTCGAGCGAGAGTTTGGTTTTGAACTTCTTTTCGAGGTCCTTGGCCGTGCAGCTCTTGTCGATGAGGTCGCAGAACCGGCGGTAGTCGACGAGCCGCGGTGCGTCCGGCACACGGTACTTTTGCAGTAGCAACTCGACTTCGGCGCGGCTCAGCCGAACGCCGCTGGCGTCGAGCGCACGTGCAAACTGGTCGGTTGTCACCTTCTTGGTCTTGTGCACGTCGAAGGTTTTCATAAACTCTTCGAGGCGGATGCGCCGCTGGCTGCACTCGTGCCGGAGCCGGGCCTTGAGCGCCCGGTACTCGGCCTTGGACATCTCGAGCCGTTGGAAAAATGGAGCGAAACGGTCGACGCTTCATTTGACCTCGACGGATATTAACAGACCGCCTTTCTCGTGCAAGCAACCCAATGCGACGTTGGCGTCCGAAAGCGATTCTCGAACCGAGACGATACTGTAGGCTGTTGTTGATGGCGTGCATTAGTCGACCGGGTTAGAGGCATCGCTTCGTCGTTGCGGCGCCATCAAGTGGGCAACGTCGTGATCGACTGCATGCGCAGTTGGATAGCCCGTGCGTGGACAGCTAGTCGCTGTCTACCGGTGTCCGAGCAACTATCAGCGGACGTCTTGCCCGACCTGCTCGTCTACTCGGGCAAGTTTGCCGCGCGGCAGACGTGCGAAAAGGCTCCGGCGGCCACCTGTCGTGCAAGCGCGTGCCCAGGAACCTTGCCTTACCGAGGCGATTCGTGCAGCAATTGATGTGTCGCTTAGCGCCCATACTACAACCGATGCGGCGCGTGCTGCACACACTCCGCAGCGCTTGTCACTTTTACATTGTATCTGGACGACCGGATATTCGTATCAAAGATCTCAAAAAAACAGGCAGGACGCACGCAATGATGAGCTCCGCCAGGGACGCCGCTGCTGCTACCAACACTGCTCCAGCCCAGCGCACAGCACACGCGAGCCGCGCGCTCTGCAGCGCTCTCGGCCCACTGCCAAGCGGACGCGACAACGACGACAGCGTGGGCAGCGACGATGACGCCATGGGCAGCGCTGCTAGAGAACTACGTTGGCTTCGATGCCGACATGGGTAACAGCGACATCGTCACGACGGCCAGCAGCGCGGCCACGTCACCCAAGGCCGCCTCGTCACCGGCCAGCGCCTCGGACGACGACGACGAAGTGGTGGACGACGAGAGCATGGACCAAGGCGAGCAAGGAACCGTGCTCCATGCGACATACATGTACTACCGGAATACCGCACATAATGTGCGGTGCTTTCCGTGTGCGGTGCTTTCCGATCTGTAGTATGTTTGATAGCGGCACGGAGACGTATCGCCTGCACACGCGCACCAATGGTCAGAGCTCGGCGCCGTTTACGGTCGCCTTGCCGTCCGTGCTTGCATTCGGCTCACTGCGCGCGGTGGCTGCCTTTCGCCCGCAGGACGGGTCGCAGGACAAGGTGAAGGCGAAAGGGCTGGCCCACAACGACAAACGTGACAATCGACGGCTTCCGCGCCGTCATCACGTTCCCGCCGACCGTGCGCACGCCGCTGGCCAAGCCCGCGCGTCCGTACGCGAACCAGTTGGAGAAGATTCGCTTTGTGTGCTACTTGCTCACCCACGCGTCGACGTGCGTCGTCACGACGGGCATGTGCCAAGTACGTTGCCGCGCTCTTTCTCCACCTCGAGTCAAAACGATACTTTGTAGATCGAAAAGTGCGACGACATCATGCGCTACTTCAGACACAGCACCGCGGCGGGCGCATCTGTTTGCTCTGCAAGCAATTGCGCACTCTCGTGGGACTCGATGCTAAAGACTGCTCGGTGGCGACGCTGAGCCGCTGCCTGATTCCGAGTGGATACTCACGAGCACCCGAGCGCTGTCATCGCCTGTAGTCCTTGTAGCATTACGCGTGTAGTCCTTGCAGCTATTGTATGGTACTAGTAATACATTTCTGCGTTCCTTCGACTTCTTCGTAGGGCACTAAGCCTCGGGTGCTTCGAATAGTAATTGCTGGCATTGGTACCACGAATACCCCGCACTACTTTAGATGAGATGGTGGTGAAAGCGAGGCTTGTGAAGATCCATACCATGCGAGCCCGAACCCCAAGACATCGACCCAATCAACGAAAACAAATGCAACGCGCCAAAACGAATACAAATGCATCCAGCCAACCGCCGAGCTCCACGCCTATAGAACGAAAACAAGTCATATGCCTAGCGCCAAAACACAACACTTTCATGTACTACGACGACCGACCAATACGCCAACACAAAGCAACTCGACCAGTGCCGGCACCACGAGCATTCAACCTGCATCAACATCACCCGACATTTCGCGTCGGTCGCCAAGCCAACGACTTTTATCAGCCCGCGAGTTCAAGTGAGCACCCCCCGTGGACCTTAGGGTGCTGCAGCTCCAGGTCGGCCCACGGGTGATCCAAGTGGAGCTACGCAACACGGGTCTGGCTCACGACCGCGAAAGCGCACGACGCGGCCCTCCAGTGCATCGAGTGGTCTCCCCCTCATGCTCGGCTAAGGCTTGTGCCCCACGGCATTTGAAGTCCTCAAGTCTTTGTGAGCGATCTAGCTGCGGCCTCGCTTGACGAGAACCGACATGGCAGGCACCACTCATCGCTCTCCTTTCATGTCTAATGCTAGCGCCACTGATTCGCATGCTTGCGCGTGCTCTGGGGGTGCGTCTTGGTGGCTTCGGTCGCGACCGCGGCTTCGTTGATGAGCCACTCAAAGCCGTTGGTGGCGCTGATCTCCGGGTTCAAAAACGTTCGTCGCGCGTCGACCGTGTCGTTGACGATCGCGAGCTCGAGCACGTCGCGCAGGAGGCGGCTCTTCATGTTGCGGTCTTCAATCGTCGTCGTCGAGAGCGACGGGGACGCGTTGACCTCGACGAGCCACGGCTTGAGGTCGCTGTCGATGATGATGTCGTAGCCGTAGCACTCGAAGCTATGCACGTCGTTGATGATGACGTTCTGGACAGCCTTGAGCGAGTGCAGCATAATGTTGTGGATCGCCGAAAGCATCGTGTCGGCCGCGCCCTATAGTACCTGCTGTTGAAACATTGAAACAATATCAAGACACGACGTACGCGGCCGCGCGTGGCTTCGACGTACAGACGCAAATTGTAGATGTTCCACTTGCCGCCGTGCTTGTTGTTGTAGTCTTCGTTGTGCTTTTGAACCGCAACGTTGGTCAGATGCATGAACGGGTTGTCAATGTCGTCGAGGTCCGTCGAGTACTTGACGTTGCAGAAGCGCGCAAAGCCTTCACTGTACACAAACGCCTAGCATATTGTCTTGTAGCTTCGAGACAACAATCCATAGACAATATTCGATGTCTACCTGCAGCGGCCGGTACGAAATCACGAGCACGTACATGCGCAAATCAAACTTCTTGCCACCAATCAAGAGTGGCTGCTCAATGTAGCGTGAGACGACGTAGCCTTCGACCGACTTGGCGGTCGCCCACTTTTTCGTCTGCGAGAGCTTGTTGATGAGGAAGATGCCTTTGCCCTGCGCCTTGGACGTCGGCTTCATGATCCACATGACGTTGGGGTTGCGTCGAAACTCCTAATTTGGATTGATTTTGAGTTTTGAGTTTGCATCATGAGATGCCACCTCGACGAAAAGCGAGTAGTCGGCCGGTAGCGTGTACGTGACGGGAATAAAATCGAGCTTCTCGGCCAGGCTTGGGTCCTTCTCGGCCTCCTTCTTGTACCTGCAATCGCTTTGGAACTCAAAGCAATGTGATGATCCAAGTACCGCTTGAGGTTCTTGACCATGAGGTCCTTGCGCGTGAGCTCGTAATGGTTGGGAAAGTGGTTGACGTACTGCCCGTCGCCGAGGCGGATGCCGCTCTCGGGGTTGAACATGCTCTTGATGCTCACCTTGTTGGCCCAGTAGACGTTCCAGTCGTTCCCGTCCGTGCGCTGCCAGCCCCGGCGCTCAAAGTTCCAGACCACCACGTGCTTCTCCGAGTCGACCTTCCACTTGAACTTGGCGCTGCTTCGCTGGTTGCTCATGGCCGCTGCCTGTCTACTGCGCCGTTTCGAAAGATCCACTGCCACGGAAGTATCAAGTTTGTATCAATTTGACCGCAGCCCTTTACCGCCACATGTATGACACGAACGATGGTAGTAGTAGAATTAGTACAACAACGACACTAGTAAGCAAAAGGGGGAGATAGCAGCGAGGTCGACCTACGACGGGCCATCGGGCTCTTTCTTTTCGTCGTCTTTCGAGGATTTCTGCCGCGCACTCGCGCGTTGCTGGCGCAGGCGGCGACGCATCGTCGAGTAGAAGCGGTTCTTGACGGCATTGTCGGTGCGGCCCGGCAAAAGCCGCGCAATGTCGGCCCAGTGGTTCCCGATCCGGTCGCGCGTCTTGAAGATCAAGTCGTCTTCCTCTTCGGTCCACGCCTCCTTGTTGACGCTCGGGCTCAAGTGGTTGACCCATCGCTCGCGGCACTGCTTTCCGCACCGGCCCGGCAAGAGGAGCGAGATGGCCGACCAGTCGCTCGCGCCCGACGTCTGAACCGCGATGGCCAGCTCCTGGTCTTCGAGCGCCGACCACGGGCGCTTCCCGAGCTTGTTGCTAAACTTGCCGCGCTTCCGCGGCGACGAGACGTTCGAGTCGCGGTCGTTCTCGTTGTCGTAGCCGTCGTTCGTGCTGGGTTTGGGCTCGCGCTTGACGTGCTTGGACGGCCCTTCGGACGGCAAGAGCACGGCCGAGATGGCAGGGTCGTAGTTAAGGCCGTTGAACGACCGCTTCCGGTCCAAAGCGAGCTTGACGATGCCCCCTGTCTTGGTCTTGGCGCTCTGCTTGGACGAGGCGATGCTGGACGTCGGCGACGATGTTGGCGACGTGGACGCAGATGACCGTGGGTACGACGACTGGTGGTGCAATGGCGGCACAGACGGTGTCAAGTACGATTCCGGCGGCCCGTAATCGTCGTCCGGGCCGTCGCTGTCATGGTCGTGGATGTTGGCGGCCGTCAACGCGCTCCCGCTTGTAAACTCGTCGTCGTCGTTGGTCACTGATGTTGCTTCGGCGAGGCCCAAGACGCGACAAAGGTCCTGGCGCAGCGACAAAATGCAGCTTTGCATCTGCTGGAGCTGGTCGTGCACGACCCGCTCGTTGTGCAAGAGGTGCTTCAACGTGTCTTCTTGCTGCGCGACCTTGGCGCGCAGAAACTGCATCTCGGTCAAGTCGGCGAGCTGCGTTGGAAGCACCTTGGCGACATGGCCGTTCCTTGGGTCGTTCTCGTTACTTGGCGCAATGTGGTTCATCTGCGAGGCCAGTACTTCGAGCGCGAGGCTGTTGCTGTCCATGGAACTCGGCGGCTCGGGCGCGACCTTGGACTCGGAATGCTGCGTCGCGATGCCACTCGAGGGGTGGTGGTCCATGGGCTCGTCCGACATGCCTACTACGGGGCATAGACAGGGTCAGCGCCTGCCTGTATGGCCTTCCGCGGAGGCGGCGCCGCCATGAGCGCCCGCTAGCACGTACATGCGTGGGTCTGTCTCGTCGCTTCCAGGGCTGCGTACGTCGTCGGTTGCTCGTCCGCAGTTCCGCCAGCGCTGATGGCCTCCGCGTCGTCGGTTTCTTCCTTGGCAGGTCAAAAGCAAATCGGCAGGAGGCTCGTAACCTTAGTTCGTTGGCGGCCTTGGCGCTTTATATTTCCGCGCGTTCCATACAAAACACTGCATATTTTAATTCAAAGACAAGGAATTGGGGCCGCGTGGGGGCGTTACCTCGTAACTGTAAAAAATACACGCGTTCGCATAGTGAGCGCGAGTCAAGATTGGTAATTGGTATTTGTATTATTCTGCGTCGTATTTTAATGTACCTTTGCGTGCTTTTTTATTGTAGAAGAAACACACTATATTGATGCTGATGGCCGCCACCATAAAAATCTATATGTGTTTGTATGTGATGGCCATTGTTTTAAACACGATGTGGTATAGGAGTTTTATAGTATTCTCTTATTTAATTGTGTGGATCCAAAATATTGGTGGCTGCCACTTTGCACCAACGGCGTGCAACGGTGGCACCGGTTGTGCATTCGATTGGCTAAAATGATTGCATTTCAGCCAATCGTACGCGCGCAAGGCGTTACATCTCGTTTCACTGGTCGGAAAGGCTCGTGCCATCTTGGGCACTGGTCGTTTGTATACGCAGTGTCAACTGCATACAAACAGTTTCCCATGCGAAGCTAAACGACGTCGCTTCGAGGACCGCAGCCCGCGCGACTTTCAGGTAGCTCGCCATTTCCGGGAGAGAGTCCTTCGGCCGGTGGGCAACTCATGGAAGCTTCGATATTTTGGCTACCCGCCGCCCTCTACGGTACTGCGGGTGTCTACTTGAACCGCACACCAGCTCCGCACGCCTCGCGTGGAGCCAGCTACCATACATGCGTTGGAAGCGTTGGAATTGAATCTTGATACTATTCTGAATGCCAGTGCGTGGGCATATATAAAGTTAAATTAACGCTAAGGGAAGCGGCTACGCTGCGCGGGACGCACCAGCGTGGTCACCTGCCCGCTTTTCAATGCAGCACCGAAAGCAGACACGGCTGGCCTTCATGTCTGCGATCGTTCGGTTGCGCAACGTACCCTGCATGAAGCCTCGGCTACAGCGCCGACACACCGACTACCACGTACTAGCCGCTGAGTGCGGGTCCGACCACAACGAGCCGTGTACCTTGTCGCAATCGAGGCACGAGTACTTGAGACGAAGCAAGTGGAAGCCCTTGGCACAGAGGTCGCACTCGGTCGCAACGTACTTGGTCGTGCACTCGAGCATGTGGACATCAGCGTCGTCCTCGCCGCCAAGTGCGAGAATCGCATCGCCCACATCGTCCTACGTACGATGCTACAGAACCGCTGGTGCCATTAGGTGCTGCGTACTGCGTCGTGGGGTGACATGTAGTCCCATAGCAGTCGATCGAGGTGGCACGCGTACTCGTCGCGCACTTGTCGCTGCACGAGGTGGGCAAAGAGAAACTTGGGCAGCGCGCTCTTGATCGAGTGCACGTCGAGAAACATGAGCCGGCGACAAACGACGGGCCGCCCCACGAGGCTCTCGCGGAGAACGTCGCCCGAGTGCAGAAGCACTTGGCGCTCGTAGCCGTACTGCGGCGGGAACGCGGCATGCGTCACCGAATGCCACACGCGCGCAAAGCACCGTTCGCCCTTGGAATCGACAATCGTATCCATGTACTAGACATAGCCACCATCAACCTCCACGTCATCGAGAAAGAGAGGCATTGCGCACCTCGAGCACGAGGTAATCGCGCGCTCGCGAGCCCGTGCGCGTCGGTTTCCGTGCCATCCAACGCAGGAGCACGAGCGCCGACGACGGCTTGTGCCACGGTCCGAGCGCAACGCCGGGCGACTGCAGTACGCACACGATGCGCGTGTCTTCGAGGGCAAAGACGCGGCAGTACTCGTCACGGTGGCGCATGAGACTCGTGTAGCGCGACCGGACGCTCACAAACGACTCTTGGATCGCGGTGGTGGCGTAGCCCATGTAGTACTGCTTGCAGGACGCCTTGGGCTGGTAGATGCGACTGGCATTGGCCGCGAGCTTCGAGTGGCGCAGAAGCGCATGAAAGGCCGTCGCG